TTTAGGGAAGGCAAATTCAATAATAGGTGTCAGTAAGGATTAATGAATAGGGCTATGGACCAGAAAGCACAAGCCTGTGTGTACCAATACAAAGAAATCTATTTGCAGCACAGTGGAGCACAGGTCACTTTGAAGTCATTAGCATACTGAATTACAAAATAGCTGCATCTAAGGCTCTTCCGTTGTCATTAGAACACATTTCCCAAGCGATCACATTTTCTTCCTTCAAATCGGCCTACAAAGCTCATGTTTGCTTGCTTTCTATTAAGTCTTCCGTACACGCAGGACCATCTACGTTTCCTGTCATGTTTGTTTCACGTACTACTTCCCAAAGAAACTCTTCAGCGAGAAAGCTAAATGCCCCAAATCCCAGCACACCCCCCGGCAACATGGAGGCTGGAGATTTTTACAGAGTTTTACAACTGTGTGGGACTCTGTTTACCTATATGCCTCTACATTTTTCCTCACTGAGCTTGAATATGTTAACCTCTGGTCTGGATTATGAGGGGTGGGTAAGTGGCATGAAGTGAGCAGCAAGAATTGAATGCAGCTGTCCACGTATGAATGGAGCTACCCACAGCGGGGAACACAATGAAAGGAAAAAAAAAAGTGGATTCCAGAAGCAAATGGCCTATGGGGCCAGTTCCACTTGCTTCACACTGATTTTGTCTTAAATTTGGCTTGCTCTTGTATATGCCACTTAGATGTTTTGGGAAGACTTCATGTGTAGCAATTACTTCCCTATAAAATTATCAACAGGAGTTTAATCCTATTTGGACCTGCTGAAGAAGCCATGGAAACAAAGCACAAGCGCTCTCTTCTGAAGCCCAGTCTCTGAATTCAGGAAACTGCAAAATATCCAGCAGGCCAGGTTTAGAAAAATGGTATGAGAGAATGCAGGGGAAGCCTCAGCCCACAAAAACACAACCGGTGCTCAACAGCAGCAGGTAATAAACACGTGGTAAGTCCTTCCTGGTGAAGATCTCTTTCCTTACACAATGTTTGGTTTTCAAAACTAAAACTAGAATCTAACTACATCTAGTTTGCAAGATTTAGTTAGAAAATCTAACTAAACTGGATTGCAAGTCTCAAGCAGAGGTTTTTTTTTGGAGAGGGAGTTACTTAATCATATGATGCATCATTCTCCTATGTACACACAGAAAATATACCCATATAAAAATGGCAGTTTACATTTTTTATGGGTTTAATGCACTCAAATAATCCAAAACCACAGTAATGCCTTCAAAAGTTTAAACACTACTACAATTTAATTCTTTTATAGAGTGCAGGAGTCAAATGACAGCGCTCTCTCTGCACTGAACAACCCCAAACTAAGCCCTGAGCAGTCACCTGCACCTTCTGGAAACAAAAGTCATTCGAGTTTGCAAGATGAACTGAACAGCAGCTCTGAGCTGCAGGAAATTCTAACAAATAACAACTAGCAGGCCTTCGATTTTACTCCACCGGGCTGGTTAACATTCCCCTTTTCAAAACCCCTTTTTTTGTAAGCAGCGTGCCATTTACATGGATGATAACGGCGCTTCGGCAGCGCCTGCTACTAGCCCATTGCCGGATGCTTATTCATAGCCCTCGGCGTGCCGGCTGTGGGTACGTACGAGCAATAGCCAAGGCAGGGCATCTGCCGCCTGTGAAACGCTATCGGTTCAGTAATCACGTCACGCTTTCCACCTGTTCTTCAAAGGCACAGGGTAGCTGCTGCTTCCCAATGGTGCCAGCTTTATGGCAGCATTAGGCCTATCAGACCCTATTTGCTATTCCCACTCAAACATCCTCTTTGTTATGGACCTACGGGTTGGCATGGGAAATTATTAGGATACAGGAAAAGATCCTCTTTCAAGGTAATTCTCTACAGGTCTCACCAAGAAAAGCCCTAGACATTACTAAATTGACACGACATACTACATTTGATTTTGGAAATGCGCAAAATACATCATCTTGCAGTCAGGCAGTGATATTCTCACTGCAAAGTGGCCACAGGGATGGGTGGTCTTAACCCAAACCTTCTTACTCCATACGTCAAAATTCATTCTCTTCCATCAGACTCCGCCTATCTGAGTTTTCTCTTGCTCAGCTTTTCCTCCCAGCCAGCTACAAGTAACAGTTCCTAGTGCTCCTGCCCCTTGCTGCAACTTCTGCTTTTTCTGGTTCCAGCTGTGTGAACCTGGACAGACTGCGCTCTCCTACCCCTGTGTCCTCTACTTCCTCCTCAAGGATGCTACATTGCAACACAGCGGGTCATCCAGCTCCCCGAAGTGCAAACAGTATTACCCATCCGGTAGCAGAATCTTCACTGTTTTGGAGTGAAACACTGTCACAGGAAGAAGACTGCCAAGCAAGGGAAACGATCCTTTGTGCAACACGGCTGTCCTCTCGGCACACAGCACGTGGTACCTAGCACTCCAATCCATATGCCCACAGCATCTCAAGATGCCCTTGTCCCTTTAAGAGTCTTCAGCAGTAACACACTCCTCCAAAACGAAGCGTACCGACCCCTACCCAGTAACTCTGTTAGAAGAGCACAAAGGTTCCAACGAGGTCTGTTTTAAACCTACCCTGTGCCGACTCCACCGAAAAACAACAGAGAAAGCAAATCCCTCGCAGCGCCAGAGGCAACTAAAGCGAGGAGGTTCACAAAGGGCAGATTTCTCCTTTCCATCCAACAGAATCCTCGTGGGAACAGAACCAAATGTCTATTTTCTCCTGGAAGAAGTGAATCTAAAACTAGTTTCTGACATGGAAAAACCTCAGGGCTAGTGACGGGCAGATACCCACATTTTGCCTCAGGCACTAGTGGAAGGGATGCGGAGCGAGCGTGAGCGTGCACGGGCACGGACAGAACCGTAATACATCGACGGTGGAATAGCAGGGGGATGATTTCCAAAGCGCTGCGGTGCTCACCAGTAAATAAAGAAAATGAACGAGAGAAGAGCTAGGGATTCAAATATACAGTGTTCCCTGCTTAATCCTATGTGGGGCTGTTTTCTGCTAGCCTACGTGCTATTTTTAAAATCAGGCACTGCAAAAACCTCGCTTTGATTCCACTGGCTGGAAAAATGCAGGTGTTTGAGAGTTTCCTATATATGGACTATAAAAGAAGAAAGGTGAAAGAAAAAAACAGTTTGCTTTCCCATGTATCTCTTGTGGTTGTTTTTTTTTTTAAAAACCAGTCTGTTGACAAAATGTTTTCCATAACAAGAAAGACCCGAATTTCTCTCAATTGTCATTTAAAGACTTACATGTACAGTGCAATGTTCTGCTCCTTTTGTTTTAAGGAGTGCTATGCTCTGGCCAGCAGTATTCTCCTCAATCCAGGCTGAGAGCAGTTAAAAACAGGAACATACAGGGCTCAAGCAAAGGAATTATAATGCATGGTGCTAACACAGTAATAAACTGAACAGCTAGTTTTGAATTTCTGGGAGGAAAAAAAAGTGGTGAACACTTTAAAAATATGAAAACAATATGTATTTTCCAGGCTCTGAACTTCCACAGAGTGCAAGCAGTGGACTGTAAGTCACCCACGGCCTACATTCCTGTTCTAGCAAAACTAATTCTTGTTCTACCAAGAATCAGAAAATCATAATAGATTTGAATTTCTGTGCTTTAGTGGGATACAAGTGACAATGTATTTTCTAATACCAGGAAAATGTGACATTATATATAAATTACTAGACAGTTCCAGCTACTAGTTTTACACAACCACAATTTTTTCAGCAGAGGAACTGCAGTGTTATTAAAATATCATGAAACCAGATCTTCCTAGCTGTTACAAAGCACTGAAATCTACTTCTCAGCCTACAAACATTGAGACTCCTCAGAGGAAATAATAACATACTTCAAACGTTCCAACCTGTGAAAGAACTTCAGAAGAAAGATTAGTACAAGGATATTTTCATTTCTCAAACGAGAGCATCTACGGAATCTTTTACAAGAAGGATTGACAACACACTGCTAAAAATTTTTGATGGGTTCGAAAAAGCTAGGCCGGTAAAACTCCTGTGACTGTAGCAAGCAGTCTGACATGCAGCAACCGATCTGTACTCAAAATAAATGCAACCATTCAAAGCCCAAAGCAGAAAAAGGCCTCTAAGCAAAGTTTCTACCCTGTAACAGCCTATTCATTCCATTAATTAGCCAATGCTTTACACTAATTCACTGAAATGCAAGACAATCTACTGATGTATTGATTCCACGTGTTTTACAGCGTACTCTTGTTGCGGTGGTATTCCCATTAGCATTGTAAAGATGCCTGGAATAGGTGGAATTATGTTACTGAAAATCTTTCATAAGAAGATGAAACATATCGAGCAATTAACATACAACATAAAACAACTTCCCTTTATTCACATTTCCTGATCCCGGTCTTCACTGTACAAATAATCTGCTGTGCAAAATAGTTTATAAAATACTAAAAAAAGCTTTTATTGTAAAAAAATAAAATTTCTAGATATACAGTTACTTTGCACTATCACAAATATTGTCCAGTATTTGACATTTAAATTTAATATCACAATACTCAAGTCAGGTAAACCAGTGATACTACTAGTAAGCCACTACTGAAACTCTGGTTCACTAGGGATTTGTTAAGTATTTTCTTCTTTTCATACCTACAGTCTTACACAACTCTGATGGCCCATACTTGGAAGTGCATTGGGAAATTAGGAAACTAGTACTTAGAAATTAGGCATTGGACCATCCTTTCCTCCACTGTCAGCTAAAAAATACCAAGGTAAATGGTAAATTTAGTAAATGGCAGATTTCAGTAAATCATGGCAAAACATGAGCTACACAGTGCAGTCACAGAACAACAAAGGTCCCCGAAACTAGATTTGAACTGTGCTGAGAAGCAGTGTAAAGGCAGCTACACTGGGTTCTGGGCAAGCGTATCTTGATTTCTACCAGTATCCAAGCTAGCCGGCTGAAAAACTAGCCCTGATCTCTCTATGACGCAGTGCAATTGCGATCACTTGAGCATGAAATGCCTCTAGGAAGATGCGGTCACCGGAGCCTTCACTGTTCCAATTCGCTTTCGTTCTGCAAAGTCTTCATAGCTAAACCCCAAAGGGTCATGCTGGAGAAGAAGGGTCCTTCGTTACTCTTGTATGCAGCAGATGACGTTCGACTGCCTAGCGGATCGTTACAGTGACTGTCCAAGCCAACCATAGAGGAACGAATCATGGGAATGTTATCAGACTGCAAGGGCTCTTCTGCAGAAGATACATCTACGTCTGCGTAAGCATATGGAGGGGGGGGAGGAGTCTGCTGTGCCTGAGCTTTTGGGAGTTTAGGAGACTCCACATTCAGTTTCTGTTGGTTTGCGGAGTCATGGTGCTGAATCATCGACCGCAACTTACAGTACGAATCCGCAGAACTCTCAAATTCAGTTGAATCTGCAGATGGACGAACGGGAAATTTAACAGACACTGGCAACAACGTAACAGACATTTCTTGGCCAAAAGAGTCAGAACTCTGAGATTTGTCAAGGTCAGAAGCTTCAATCCCTTGAGTAAATTCATCTAGGGAGTTTGGACCTTCATCGGCGGCTTTACAGTGCATCTTCTTGTGCCGCCGCAGGACAGCAGAGCGAGTGAAGCATTTGTTACAAGTTTCACAGGTATAGGGTTTTTCTCCTGTGTGAGTCCTCACGTGTCTGCGCAGGTCACCAGAGCCTGCAAAACACTTCCCTACAAGACAGAAGTGGTATGTTAAGATTTTGTTCTTAACACAAGTGCATAAACACATTCCACTAGAGAAAAAATCAAGTGATAAGGTATGGTATGTCCCAGTTGTGGTACTTTGTTTATCTAGAACAGGTTCAAACAAGTTCCATCTATTTTTACAATTCAATGACTTGTTTCTTCTTCTTGATCTGATTTGCTAACTTGTGTTTCCCAGTGCTTTAGTTTTTGTCTCCAGAGACGGGAATATCCATTAGTATTTGAAGGCTGTGAGTGCTCTCAGTTTGTATCAATCTTCAGGGAGGAAAAAAAAATTAAAAATAATCAATTTAATTTGTCTGTCTGGAAAAACACTGTGCCGATAAGCTTCTAAATATATTTTTCCAATGACAACTGCTCCATAGGAGGTAATGGTTTGTTCATGACCAAGGAACTATCAATAATGTGCTGACAAACTTAGCTTTTTTGTTAACTTTGAGCTAATGTAATGCAGCAGCCCATTTAGAATCACAGAATGGTTTGGATTGGCAGGGACCTTCAAGATCACCTAGTTCCAACCCCCCTGCCATGGGCAGGGACACCTTCCACTAGACCAGGTTGCTCAAAGCCTCATCCAGCCTGGCCTTGAACACTTCCAGGGATGGGGCATCCACAGCTTCTCTGGGCAACCTGTCCCAGTGCCTCACCACCCTCTCCGGGAAGAACTTCTTCCTGATATCCAATCTGAACCTCCCCACTTTCAATTTAACCCCATTACCCCTTGTTCTGTCACTACAGGCCCTTGTAAAAAGTCCCCCCCAGCTTCCTTGTAGCCCCTTCAGGTACTGGAAGGCTGCAATAAGGTCCCCCCGGAGCCTTCTCTTCTCCAGGCGGAACAAGCCCAACTCTCTCAGCCTGTCCCCATAGCAGAGGTGCTCCAGCCCTCTGAGCATCTTCATGGCCTCTTCTGGACTTGCTCCAACCGGTCTATATCCTTCTGATGTTGAGGGCTCCACAGCTGGACGCAGAACTCCAGGTGGGGTCTCACAAGAGCAGAGTAGAGGGGGAGAATCCCCTCCGTTGACCTGCTGGCCACACTTCTCTGGATACAGCCCAGGATATGGTTTGCTTTCTGGGTTATTCTAACCAAAAAATGTGGCAAAACTATTTTTTTATTGCTGTGAGTATTAAAATACAGTAAAATATTCAACTGTTTGCCGCATTTCAGAACCACAGGTTCAAATAAGCTCAGTTACAACACTGCGAAATAAAAAGTGAGGCTGAACCAAGGTGAAGTGTAGAAGAGCAGGCAGAACAAGAGAGCATTAACTTCCAGAACTGCTACATGACTCGGACACCTCTTATTCTTTAGGACAGAAGAAATAAGCTGGTACCCATTTGTGATTTTATCTCATTTTACCTAGGTTAAAGGTTATTTTGTGTGGAGAGATACCAACTAAAGTGAACTCTATTGTCTGAAAGCCCAATAAAACTGCAGTCTCTTGGCATCACACTTTTCATTCTACTGCCCAAATTTCTCTTCAGAAAAGCCATGAAACAGTAGCAGTAAGATTACAAATTACTGGGATAATACATGTGGATTCTTTGCATAATGTGGATGATTTCTTAACACTTGATCAGATCCTCTTTGCACAATTTTTGCCTTCTCAGTACAAGATGACCTGGCTAAAATGAAAAATAATCAAAAGACCACTACAAGACAAGATGAAAATAAGCCTATTTTAATGAGAGACACAACTGTTTGGTCATAGTTTCATCTCCTGCAGGTCTGTATTTCCTCCCTCTGATGCAAGACCTCCTGATAATGCTAGCTTTTGTTGTGCCTCAAGGCATTACAAACAAAACATACTGCAGTTGGACATTACCATGTGGACCTGCCCTCCTCCAAAGCCGATTCCTCAAAGCATGAATGAAATTATACCGAAATAGCACTTACGGGCAGAAAAGTATGTAGAATCCAGGATGCTAAGTAACATATGAGATAAGGATAGACAATGCAATTTCTGAGCTATGTTATACAAGGATGAATCATTGATCAAAAAGCCATTTTCAGACCACCTGGAAGTATGACCCATCTAGCAGATTTTGAAAACAGGTGTTCTCTGGTATGAAGCATTGATCGAGTTTGGATTTTACTCCAGAGGTTAAAGCAAAGTAGCAAAAGGTTATCATCAACTCTGTGGTTGAGTGCAGTTAAATCCGAACAGTATTCAACTGGGAGAAAAAAAGGAAAAGCAAAAACGCTTCAATCAACAGCCAAGTGATGCCATTTCCATCAGAAAGGACTTTACTGAAATTAAATCAATTTTTTAAACAGCTAGTGTCAGTACTTCTCTAGCAAACATATACACATCTAATGTTGATTCCTCATCTTTCCCTTCCCTGTTCTTCAATTGAAATTCACTTTTGAACTTATTTACAACAGCTAAAGGAGTTTACTACACCAAATGAAAGACTGTGAAGTATGCAAGACAGAAGCACGGTATTTAATTTTAAAATCACTGTGGTTCACTGTTATTCTGCTGACACAGGAACTTTTCCTTATCATTTAAAAAGCGAAGATGCAACCGAGATACGCAGAGTAAATCTCACCACATGCTGAACAGCTGTATGGTCTCTCTCCGGTATGCCTAATTCTGTGCTTTACTAATTTTCGCTGCATGTTGAATGACTTCCCACATTCATCACAGGTGAATACTTTATCTGCCGTATGGGTCTTTTTGTGCTCCTTCAGATTACTAAAGTTACTGAATCCTAGAAAAATATCACAGACACTGAAATTAAAATGACTTCTCGCATTTCAATGAAACCGCTTCAGAGGCAGAAACTTTGGTGCTCACATACCTCTGCCACAGATATCACACAGATGAGGCTTTTCTCCAGAGTGAATAATAATATGACGCTGAACATCACCAGAAGCAGCAAATCTGTAACAGAATACAGAAACCTAATCACTGTCTTTATAAGACACTTATTCTCCTAAACTGAGTATCATGTGAAAATCAGCTATAATGAATGCCTGATGCTCTGAACAAAGATTAAAATCTAAAACACAGGTACTTCACTGGATGCATTAAAGAAAAACATTTTGAAGCTGGCGATATCCAATTACATTTATGCTAGGGAAAAAAAACCAACTCTTTTCACCATTAATGTTACTAATTTATTCTGCATTTAACTTAGTTCAAGTATGAATACTACTTCTAAATTAGTGTATTTTCTGTCACCTCTTACCAGAAGGCAGAAATATTTAATGTTTTGCTTTAATTTGTCAAGTTTCCCATACTTCATAATTTACATCAAATGTAACAAAAATTATATGACTAAATAATGAAAAAAAGTGTGAGGGAAAGGTCCAAAACTGCATGATGTATTGTGACTCACACTGTTCAAAATACACACAACAGTATATCCTTAATTAAAGACACCAATATACAAAAAATTAAGTAAGATGATGGACTATATACATGGTGACATGTTTGTCTTATTACTGACACTTGGAACAAGACACTTGTGGGCAGGTATTTTAATCCCATCAGTACACATTTAACCCCAATGTCTTTTAAACAAAACTGAGCAGCATGTTGCCTTAGCTCTTGGCCCTGAATTTATCATGAAAATTAAAGAAAACGTGAACAAGTTTTATCATGTTAACTTTACTAAAATGAACAATTCTACTCACCTTTTCCCACAGATTTCACAAATATATGGCTTTTCACCAGAATGTCGACGTAAATGTGTCTGGAGATTACCTGCCTGAAGGGACAGTCATTTAAACATTTAAATTCAGCTAACCTTTTCTACAGAGATAAAAAGACAATGGTGGAACTATGAGACCAGCTTTCTATTCCTAATTCAAAGACAGTGAAGACTATAAAGCATGTATGAACTCATACATGGTGCTCCAAACCTATAAATATTTAGTCATATCAAAAGCAATCTGGACAGGAAGTTCAGAAATGTACAAACGGGATTATTGGTAACTCATTTTTATTGCATATCTTTCCTCTCCCAATCCTGTACAAATCATGTTAGTCCAGCAGGCAAAGTAGATGACAACTTAGACAAAACCATCTTACTCATTCCAACCAGTTTTTTTAAAGCCACTGGTGCTTCTGAATGGCTAATCTCCTGAGAGTCCAGTTCTCAAAGCATAAGATACAGCTTGTCTGGATAGAAGAGCTGGAGATGTTCTATAAATTGTGCATACTTCCACAGTCATTTTTTACCCCTTCCATTCTCTTTGATGGATAGCTGCCTGGTTTTATCTGAGTACACTAAAGGAACATTAGGTCCTTTCAATCAGGAAAGAAAACTGGGGATGCAAAGATTATCATGTCCTCCTTAGGCACAGTAAGACAACACAAACACGACCCATCAGTCATTTCTTCCAACACCTTCAGATAATAACCTGTGATGATCAATCACTGAAATCAGAGCTTGTAATGTACCAGAACTAAAGTACTGCAGGCACACACAAACAGACAGAGAGGACAGTACTAAATGGATCACCGTTCGAACCCTGAGACGGCTTGCTTTAACCCCTGGGAAGTTCTCCAGACAACTGTATGACTGTGCTCTCAAGTCAAACTTTCTAATACTGAAATCCATTCAAAGGGTGGCATTAGGCACCTATTTCTGAGGAATAAGACTAAACTGACTTCCCTGTGGAGCAATACAAGCTTTGCAAAGACAAGGGATTTTACGCGGAGGGGCATTTGAGAGAAACATACAAAAGACAGAACCTTTACCTCTATCCATGCAACAGAACAAACTGTATCCTGGGCATTAGGAAGTTATTCTGGACAAAGACAGAGGGTGAATTTGAAGTACAATGATAATTCTGAAACAGTTCCCACACAGGCATTTTAGTCCAGAAGAAAAACATTTAGCAAGTAGATCCATTCCTTTATTACAAACCTAGGTCACTTCCTCCTAATGAGGGTAAAAGCTTGTTATTAACCGTGCTGAGACAAAAGAGATAAAAACATCATTATTTTGTATTCTTCCTGAGCTTTTAAGGTGGTACACAACCTTGGTTAAGGCATAACATGCCATCCCAATGAAAAAACATAAGAGGACTTTTGCTAGCATTTCGGTAAAAGAAAAAAAGCAGCTCAGAAGGATCCTCTTACTGATACTGGTTGCGTGCCACTCCTCACAGATTTGGAGACTAGAGAGAGAAGCTAGACTTGGTCCTTTGGTAATGATCATGCCTTTAAAGCAAAGGAAGTAAAGCACGTGGTCATCCAAAAGAAGCTCTGCAGAAGAGGTAGTCAGGATGTGAAGCATGGCATCTTGGATCACCAGCCAGAGAAGGGCCACATCGCACAGGCTGCGTACCAGTAGCAAGAGACGATGCAGGCTTGGAAGCATGAAAGGAACCTTCTTCTCCAAAAATTAAAGACATTTATGGTTATTTGTTCTACACTACGAGTTGTCAATTTTTGCCACTTTCTTCATTCTGTGTTTCACATTCCAACACATGGAATCCGTTACATTCCGCAGGAGCAGACCCAACCACCAGGCATAACTACTGCACTGTCTCAAAAGCACAGAACGTGAAGGCTCAAGGAAGAAAAGTGTGACTATTTCTGTGCCTGCAGACTGGGAAGGTCAAGAACAAGGCCAGAGATGGTCTTTTAAGCAAAATGTAGAATCATAGAATGAATCATAGAATGGTTAGGGTTGGAAGGGACCTTAAAGACCATCCAGTTCCAACCCCCCTGCCATGGGCAGGGACACCTTCCACTAGACCAGGTTGCTCAAAGCCTCATCCAGCCTGACCCTGAAGACAGTCATTATCCTTGCATTTCACCTTCTGGTAGGTAGAGTCTTACTTATTTGCATGATGCAAGTGCGTCGGAAGTATAGAAGTTCCCTTTCACAGCGGGAAAGAACTGTAGCACACAAGCTGAACGCTATGGCTCGCATTCTGGACACACAGGGATCTTCCATCCATGCAGATGTGCATATACCTTCAGGCAAGGAATGTGATGAGGAGGGAAGGTGTTTAAGAGTGTTTAATTAAAGGCAGAAATTTCCAGCTTTGCTGGGGAGTTGGTTTGTTTGATTTTAATCAAAGAGGAGCAATGCATGTTGCATGAGGAGTGTGTCATGTCTGTCATACACTCTGAGTGCGTGAAGCTTTTTTATTCCCTCTTCCCTCACGGAAATGATGCAGAATACCACTCCATTTGCCAAAAGTACTTTTAATGGAATTGGGAAACATCCACTTTTTTTATTTTGATAACTAGAAGTCCAGCCATCAAAATGAATGAATCAAAACGCACTTTCTTTGCCTAATAAGCAGACCCAGTTTTGCTCAAATGGCTCCATGAGCATGATAAAAGAGTACTGCTCCCTGGATGCAGTGTTATATTCATAGTGGAGGATGCAACTGCATCGGATTCATGGGTCAAAGTCATCCCACTGGTGGACTACAAAACTGGAGCAAGAGAAACACAAGCCCTGGTGGGTGGGTAGACAAAGACCACATAATTCTAATCCTTTCACCTTAAGAAAGACCAAAGTTATTAAACAATAATTATCATTTAATCTTAGCATAAAATTCTACAGTGTATTTAGGTGCAAATATTCCAAACAAGAAAACAGAAAATAGACATTTTGGAAACATGAGTCAACTAGGCACCAAATGTGTAGAAATACAAATGAATTGTACCTGGAACAGCAAGCAAGCACTGGAGGGCAAATTAAGAGACTAAGTTTAGGCCTTTTATGTAAGTAGGGAGTTTCACACAAGTTTTTTTTAAATCATAGCTTAGTGTTCTCACTTCAGACAGACTGTGCTGTTGTTCTTCTTGAAAGGAAACCGAATCAAAAAAATCTGCTTAATAATTTATGCCATTTAGGAAGATGAAACTGTATTATGAATACAACAATATGTAAAATTCTAACCTGCATTTTTTTCCAGACACTGTAAAAATGCTCTTCACAATATATCCCTAAGCATAAGGCAAAAGCACAGTCTGAGAATGAATGTTCTCTGAATTTCAAATACAGTTGTGGCTCTGTTTAGTTAAACATTCATTTGAAGGTAAAATACCTAACACATCTACTGAGAGCAGACAGAATCAAAGGTACAAAATGTATCAAAGAAAACTAAAACATTTAACATGTTATATTTTACCCTTAAAGTCAAGTCTGTCTTTGAACAAAAAATATTTAATCTACAGGCATAAAACCAAGTTTATTTTTAGAATCAACACATAGATGCACTGCATTTTCAAGTGTAAGTACCATAATAGAAAATATTCCCACCTGTGAGAAGTGTTTCCCACAAATGTTACATTCAAAAGGTTTCTCACCTAAAAGGAGAAGAAACAGAACATAGAACTTCTAATAGTTGCAATAAAACACAAATGTTTTAAAGTGGTATGTTTACTTTTAAAACATGTAATTTAAGAGTACAAACATCCCCCAAAGGCCACTTACCCGTGTATTTAAAGGGAAATTCAAGAGGGATGTACAGTATTTACCATTAAGGTTGTAAGGCAAACTTGCCCAGAAATAGATTTTATCTCTCAAAATAAGTAGGTAGAAGATTTTTGATAGGAATTGGAGCATTTTGGTGGTGTTTTGGGGTTTTTTTTGATTGGTTGTTTTTTGTGTGGATTTTGTTTTGTTTTAATACTTTTATTCCAAATGAAAGGGCTACCCTACCTCCAGGAAGAACAGAATAGATGAAAAGGTCCTTTAATAACAAAAGCTATGGGAAGTGCACCAGTTTTTCCACTTGCACACACAAAGGCCCACTTTTAAAAAGAATGCAGAGAAGCTAATTTGGAAGGATTCTCTGATCAACGATCTCTGATCAATGTGCACCATATACCTCTGATCAGCATTTAGCCATTCACTTCCAGCAAGTATATATTTGCCTTCAAATTCTAATTCTATATAAAAGAGTATCTGATAATTAAACCAAATATTTTGCTCCAGAATTCTGAATTTATACATATAAAACTGGTATTCTTGAATCTCCAAAAACGTATGAGCAGCTTTAGCAAAAAACTAGTGCTGCCCACTTTAGCTTTTCAAAGTAATGTGACTCAATCTAGAACGTGACTGCACAATAGTCCAATTCTCTAGCTGTCAATTTGCGACAAATAACTTTTGCTAATAACTTGGGTTTTCCTCTACAGCATTTCATAAAGGTTTTTTTTCCTTCTGCACAGTTCATTTTCTAGTTTTTACACTGTTCATAAAAATCTCTACATCTTCCAGACTTAAAAAAAAAATAAGCTCAAATACCACTGAATTCAATGGCAATCAGATTTCTGATGATATTTTCATGAGTCTAACTGTATTTTAAAAGGACATACATAACCCAGCCCACAAATACAGGGGAGCAAAAGAATTACTGTAAATCCTTATGATTTTGAATGCAGACATTACCAGAAGGGAGGGGAAAAAAAAAAAAATCTTACACTGTGTTTTATCTGAGTGCTGATACAAAATTCATCTAAATATTTTTATTCACTTTTTAATGTATAATTTTCCTTATTTTACAGAACAACTCTTGGCTATCTGAAGCCTTCTTTTCCAGCAAATATTCTCTACAAAAGTATTCTTCCTCCATCCTGGAATATACAGGTGTTGATGTTCCATTTTCCTTCCCTACTGCAAATACAGGTGATGTTCTGTCAACATATTTCAGGATCAAGGACTAAATGAATCCTCTTAGATTTTTAAAGTATGGAGTAAACATACACAGGTGTGTGGCTTCACAGATAGCAATCTCACAGTTATTCTGACAACGTGAGCCTAAATCTACTTCTTCTAATTAATGAAGACTGGAAATCTTATGGCAGTTTCAAGATAGCTTTTATTCAATTAAAGATAAAAATTAAGAAACAAATAACTCACCTATAAAGAGCACTGAAGCTTGATTTCATTATAGCTCTAAATTTGAAAAACACTAAAAATTCTGATACTAACAGAGAGACAGATATGTGTGCAACTGGGAAGGTTTCTGACAACCATAAAAACATCAAGGTAAATTGAAATGGAAGATAAAAACAACAGTAGCAATCTCTGCAGAAATTACCTACACCAAAAGAGCACTACTGTTGACAAAAAGACTATTGTCTGAACAGAAATCTACCCTGAAATAACTAGAGGGAGGAAATGGGAGGCTCAGCTTTCTCAAACTATTGTTGTAGGCTGTACTCAGCCTCGTTACAACTGAGTACAAAGAGTTGTAGGTATTTTCCCCATGATAAAGATAAAATAAAAGAAGTTTTGTTTGAAAAGAAACATCAAATTAGTTTTTGGAGAACAATTCTGCACCTGCATAAAACTCCAAACCACTGGGCATATCGAGTAGCTTATTCCGAGAATGAATTCTAGCAGAAGGACAGAATTCCTCGGTGTGGTAGCATCCCTCAAGTAAAGCGAGGCTCATCACTTCCTAGAGCATACTAGTAAGAGTGCAGCTAGCAGGCTGAAGATGATTCTTCTCTACCTATCACTGCTGAGACCACATCTGGAGCCTTAAGGAGAGAAGGCAAACAGGAAATCTTAGTGCTGTCTACACGTAACGGGAAGGCAGATGCTGCCAGGTTGTCCTTGAAGGTAAACAGTGACAGGACAAGAGGTGATAGGTACACGTTAGATGATTAGAAATTCCAATTGGATATAAGAAAAGAATTTTTTTACCTCATGAGGGTGGTCAAACACTGGAACTGGTTCCCTGTAGAGGTTGCGAAATCTCTGCCCTTGGAGATATCCAAAATTTCGCTACACAAGGTCATGAGAAAAACAACCCAATCTAATTTGACCTGGCCTGAGCAGAGGATTCGACCAGATGACCTCCAGAGTTTATGATTCTATGACCATCATTAAATTCCAAACCAAAAACCTTATCCAAGACCACTAATCTTCTCAAAGACCTCAGCTGGACAACAGCAATGGAGGAAATTGTGGAAAAGTAGTAACTGATCTACAGTTAAGACAATGCTTAAACAAACATCCAGGGGACTTGACTTTTGAACCCTTGGACTGCCTTGTGTTTTCTATCTTCTGTTGCATCCTTCCTGTTCAGCACTCTGCAAGAAGAGATGAAGATAAAGTAACACAGCAGTGGGACCAATGCAGTGGTGTGTCAGCTCCAGACACATAAGGCATGAAAGCAGAAGTGATGTTCCTGAAGAAAACACAGAGGTGAGGAGCAGGACCCAATAAGGCACGGAATGCAGGCAACTTGCTCAAGCAAAGCTCTAAATGAAAAGGTTGAGGTTCAACAGTGTATTACATGACATTATAACTGCTCCTGTTTTCCATCCTGCCAAGAGTTCTTTCCAAAGGCTTGGGTTTTGGAGTTTTTTTGAGATGTTTCCTGAAAATATTAAGAAAGAAAAAACCCCAAAACACTGGATGTTCCGGGATGGGTAAGGACTGTATGAGAGATATATTTGCTTCCTTTCTTTTCAGACATGTCAATCTAATAAAAACCCAAATTAGAACATTCAGTCAAGTCAAAATCAATCTCAGAATCACAGAATGGTTTG